TCATCAGTGTATCAATGAAACTATATTCTATGTTGATAGATGACCTTTTCCAGCACCTTCATATAAAAGTTAAATAAACAACAACAAAAAAAAGAGTAGAGCTCTGAAGCACCACATGCATGCATGTCTCTGTGTACATGCACACATGATTTGAAAAGACAGAAGATGTCTCCAGTGCTACATTGTAGGAGAAACAAAAATGCTCCAGTGCTACCTTCAAGAATTTAGGAAACAATGGGGTCACCATTATACAGTAAAGTCCCAATGCTGTCTGGAAATCCTGTAAATTAACTTTATTTGGGGTTTGAACAAACTGCTCAAACAACAAATTAGTGCTGATGCTACATTTAAACAGATGTGGGATGCAAGGAAAGATTAGAGTTTTAACATGTTTATGGCTGAACGGAACACAACAGTGACAAGGGATGCCATTTCAATTCCTGAGGTGGTCCACCAAAAAAGCAAATTAAGCCCTTTAAATTCATAACATGCCTATTTCAGATTATTTTAAAAACTTTATCTCCCTCCCTAGCAACTTGCCAATGAATTTTTGCCTCTGTGTTTTCATGTCAAGACATGGATTCCGTCCCTAACCTAAAATAGCCCATATCATCCAGAAGGACTGGAGCTTTGAGTATTCTTCAATCAACATCTCAACTCTGAATGATACACAGTATTTGAAATTACCTAGAAACTGCTTGATATAGTGAAGATAGGCTGGACCTGTTCAACTTTGCCTCATACAAAAAGATCCCATATGTTCTGATATAGAGATACCTATCAATAAAGTGCCTTGCAAATAGGCCACAATGCATTAAGCATTTCTTTTCTTCTTCCTTATAGATCAAGATATAAATAGGGTTTTGATTTGTTTCTGCTCTGAAGAGTTTCACTGGAGCTCTGATCAGAAATAGATGACTATCATGGAACAGGCTCCAAGACAAATTTTGTCCTACATAAACACCTTAGTTATCTTCTACCACAACTGTTCATTTATTGAGAATCTCTCTTCCTTTGTGGATCTTTTGACAAGGAAAACATTAGCTCTACTACGGTAGAGCTAAGCAGTGGTTAGGTGGATGCTAAATCATATTTTGCTGAATAATCAAAATATAGAGATCCTAATTTTATTAGGATCACATTTAGCATTTGAGGGAGGTAAAAGTAATGCAACTATGCAAAAGAGTAAGCGTAAGATAGTTGATTCATTATTTCTATTTGTGGGAAACGAAAAGAGGAAGTTTTAACCTGCCACCAGTTTTTGCTGTCAAAATTAAACAGTGTAGCTAAAGTGCATTGGAATGGCAGGCATTCAGGGGATTTAGTCTGTCCATTGCAATTTGCTTATCTTACTAAAAGCCAGAGTTTATAAATCAAAACACATGAAGTCAAATTAAGATTATAATGCAATTTTACGGGGAGATAAAATTATAGTTGTGGGCGACGTGATTAAGAAAAATTAAATTGCCCCATTCAGATAGGCTTAACCAAAAATCAAGCCAAGCCAGTTTCATTGTACCAACTTTTGCGATGCCTTTCAACAAAAATTAGCACCGTTCAGAACAGGAAATGTGGGCCCGGGAAACAGTTTCGACAGCTTTCTTCTACCCTCCCTGTTTTGCAGTCCTCCCGATCGCGGTCTGTGATAAAAAAAGCAAGTTCCCCGCTTCATTAGCGGTTACTGAAAGTAACGATGAAAAAAAACTTCCTTCCCATGAGGTCCGGAAGAGCGGCTGCAGTGTCCCCAGCGGCTGTTAAGCGAAGTCAGCCTGGCACCTGAGGCCGCTGCTTTCGTTCTCTCGCCTCGCAGCCAAGGTCCTTCTCAGCCCGCCTCTCACACCGAAGGGGGCCGCGCTTCGCTTTGCCCGCGCTGTGACGTCCCCTCGAATAAGCAACGCCAAGTGGCTAATTCCTTACGGAGGACCCCGGCGGAGTAAAAGTGCCGCAACTTAAGCGGCTCGTCTTTTTTATATTCGGGTTGAAGAAGCGCGAGAGAAAGGCGCGCCGGACTCCGGGTTTGTTTGTTTTCGAGACAGGTGAAGGGGATTCCGTCGCGGCTTGCCGAGAGGATGACAGCCACCCTCTCCGCGCCCGGAGCGTCGCTTTGGCTCCTTTTCCTCCTGCCTTGGGCCGCGGCGCCTTCCAAACTCAACATCCCTAAAGTGTTGCTGCCCTTCTCTCGGAGCGCAAGGATTAACTTCACCCTGGAGGCAAGCGAAGGCTGCTACCGTTGGTAAGCGAAGGGAGGGAAAGAAAGCCGCGTTTGAAAGCTGAGGCACATGGCGCAGGTGCAGCAATCGCGGGCGCAACACGTGGGCGGGGGGGGGGGGGGAAAGAAGCTTAGTGTTTAGTTCGGCGTTCGTAAAAGCGAGCTCCTCTCTTGGCCTGCGCCGAACCGGATAATCGGCCAGATAGTTTCAAAGGAGGAGAGTTGACTGGCTTCCAGTAGAACAGCTTTTGCTTTGCAGCCAGTCAGAGTAATTATTGAGCCTCTTGGGCGCTTGCGCACTGCTTGAGATGAAACGCACACCTTGCTTCCAATATTGGAAAATCAGCCCGTCGATCGGGAAAAGTTGTTTTTCTTTCGTGGCAATGGTTTGAACCGCGGATTGTTCCCTTTCACTATTCGGGGATCCTTGCTTTTTTAGCTTCAGCGCCATTGGGTTGTTAGTTTTGCTTCCTACTAAGTAGGAATATGTGCAGTGGGGCCTCAAAACTTTATGCAACAGAGTGAATTGTATGCTAATATATTGGTTTTCTTAAGAACCTAGGATGGCTGCTGTTGGAAAATGAGTTGGAATAAAAAGGAAATTGTGCAAGTCCTTGCTCGTTCAGTCGATACTGGTAAAACTGGTTGATTCTGTCTTCATCATCTTTTTATTGTACTTATTTATTGCCCTGGGTTTTTGTTTTGTTTTTTAATACAGAACAAGTGCTATTGAAATGGACAGTTCTGTTGAAAGTCTGAAATAAAAGCCTGGGTAGTATAATAATCATTATAAAAGAAACATATTTTTTCTTAGGTGTAACATCTTCTTGCTGCCAGACAAGGAAAAATTCAGATTATTTCCAAAATAATTATGCCACTCTGTGTGCACGTGTGTGATTTCTTTATGTATCTTGATCTTTTAATGCTTTTTATTTAAGATATTTACATTCTGTCCAAGTCAACTTGTTTTAACAGTAAAAATAACTTGTCTGTGATATTAATAGATTTCCTGTATATTTTGAAAGTTCTATTGGTGACTATAAAGATTACTTGAAGTACCAATACCAACTTGCAGATTTTATCAGAAGTAAGCCTAATTGTGTTCAGTTAGTATATAGCTAAGTAAATTGTATTGGATTAAAACTTTAGTGACTATTGCATGTTTAATATAGTGATTTATTTGAGTTTAAAATATGGCTTTAATTATACAGAACGTGTAAGTATGATAGTGCTTAAATTCTTATTCAGACAATATTTTGAATTATTCAGTTGTGAAAATGTCCAGAATCTTTCAAAGTTTAATAAGTACAATGTCTATAAAGATGAATGAGCATTTTCTCACAATTCATTATTGAAAAGTACTTTCTATTCAGCGTTGGATATGTAACAGAAGTTAATATATTGCTATCTCCATAATATTTCTTTCTCAGAAGATATGCTAAATAAAGATTAACAATTACATTCATTTTTTTAAAAAAATAATTTTAATTAAAATGTATTTACATAATTAGATCAGATGGCAATAAGATGGCAGTGTTAAAATTTGATTGGGAAGCATAACAGGAACAAAGCTGCTTAAAATGCAGATCAGGTAACAATGTAATTGTACTTTTTAGTCAAAAAAGACCTGTCAGTCAGCTTAACTGGCAGTTTGATCTTGCACATTGTTAAAATAAATTCCAAAGAATTAACTGAAACTACTTTGCAAAATTTCATTAAAAATTAATTAGTTCATGTTAGCTTTAAGCATAATGTAACTTGGATTTGGTTTAGGCACATTTAATATTTAAAGTTAATAACATTTAACCTAACATTTAAAATTCTAAATTGTGCTTATTATTGACAGTGGTCATTTATCTATGGATGATTTTCCAGAAAGCAGGGGAAAAATGCTCCAATGGTTTGTTGTTCTTATGCTCCCTAGCTGATAAGTTATCCTTCTGAGTTTTCATTTTGCAAAGAGAAAAAAAGTAAAAGAAAAGAGCCATGACATCCTGATTTGATACTACTAATTCACTATATTCCAATGACATACTGGACTATTGATCAGCTAATAATCAGACCTTAGCCTTGTATTTTATGTGAACATAGACTTTGTTTTGGCATGTTAAAAAAATAAGCCTTCTGTGTAAATATTGAGTTAAAGCATGTAAACAAAGCTCCTTGGGCTTTTTTGTTTTCCTTTGATTTGTTTTAGAGGTGAAAAAACAGTTGAGAAATAATGGATAATCTTTATTCCATTCCAGATGACATAGGAGTTATGGTCAGACTAAGCAAGCATAATAAGCGGCATCTAACATGGATCTGCTTTTTAAATATAATTTCAACCATGAATCCAATTTAAATAATATGCCAAATCTAGCCATTGCAGGTCTACTGGCAGCAACTCAGAAAACTAGACAACCATGATTTCTTCATTAAAAAAAAAGATTAAAATGAACCATAACTTGCAATAGAGTAGGTGAAGTCAAATTTAGATTTATGTATTCAACTGTCCATCTCTGATGCTCTGGGTGAATAATTTGTGAAGAAGATAAATGGGGCCTGGTTCTTTCATTTTTCCGTGTAACTTAGACCAATCATTTCCTATAAATCTTGATAAAATAGAAATAACTAAATTTAAAAGTGATGTGAGATATGCAGTTTGTTTAAAAAAACAAATTGCCAAAGATACTATTTGTAACCTATGTTGCAATTGTGATAGATAATTTGCCCATATTATATATTTTCATGTAAGCAGACCCTGAACCTGCAGGAATAACGCTAAGATGATGATGATATATAACTTGGCTCTAAATTTTATGAAAAAAGTGTATGACCTGTACAAATGTTGTACTCCTGTGGCCATAAAATCAGAGTAGAGTTTCTTCAGACATCCAGATGCTTTTAGCTTCTACATGCAGTGAGGAAGAAGAATTAGTTGCTTCTCTATTGTTCAACATATTGTCATCCTGTATGAAAATGAACTGCACCTTTGTTCCTGCAGGCTGTTTCTGTGATTTAGAACCCTGATATTGTAATCTAATATCGCTTGCATGTTTAAGCTGTTAACCATCCATGACTGACTGACCTAATCACATTCATACAGCAGAGCAGTGTTCACTGGGGTTGTGCAGTGATCCAGATTTGAAGGAGAAAAGATGATTCGAACTATGCAGAAATACACAAGTTTTATCTATCATCAGCTTCTTAAAAAGAAAGTTGCTGCACAATGCCACAAAAAGACATGCTTGATTTCCGGAGATAACAGCAGGTACATTGTATGCACCCATGTGTGCTCCAAATCACCTTTCAGAATTCAACAATTCCTAGATTCGACAACTATCTTACAATAGTGTTCAGAGTTTTCTCCCATTAGAACTGTTGGAGAACTGACTTTTGATGTGTTACCTGTCTATATGTAGTTGGTGCTAGTTCCTGCTGAGTACAGGTAGTCTTGTACTACAGGTGGTCAACTTATGACCATGATTGAGCCCACAATTTCTTTTAAGTAAGACGTTAAATGAGGTTTTCCCCCATTTTACGAACTTTCTTGCCTGCCTTGTTACTTTCTTGTTAAGTGAGTCACTGCAGTTGATAAGTTAGTAACCCAGTTGTTAAGTGAATCTGACTTCCTCATTGACCGCTTGTCAGAAAGTCAAAAAAGGTGATCATGTAACTTTGGGACATAGCATACACTTGAAACAGTTGCCAAGTATCTGAATTTTAATCACATGATCTTGGGGATGCTGCAAAGGTAATTGTGAAAAACAGTCGTAAGTCACATTTTTCTGTACTGTTGTAACTTTGAACAGTCATTAAACAAACATATATGTCGAGGACTACCTATATTAGCTACATGTTGTTGGTCATTTGTCCTGAATGCACAGTACAATAAATATGATTGCATTAATGGATTAATTTCTTATAAAAGAATGATCTACCAGCAAACCAATTCCCTTTGGTAAAAATATGCACATTTATAAGTTAGAGCAAATGAACACAGTTTTGGGGAATTACTGGAATTGAATCTTAAATTTCTTATTAACAGTCGTGGTAAAACACTATTCAGCCAAAATTTATATCTCATAGCAAAAATAAATTGTCACCTGAGGATAATTTAGAGAATTCAGGAAGTATAATTAGGATTAGTTAATTCAACAGTCTTTTTAAAAAAGTGAACAGGTGTTAGTATTAATTCAATCTGTCAGTATCTTCAAGCATTGTGTGTGTGTGTATGATGTATATATATGTATGTATGTATATATGTATATATGCATATATATGGTATTCAGCTTTGTTTGGGTATTTTCCCACGTCATTATAGTTGTGCTTTTAAAGTTGTAGCGATGTTTTGGCAAAATCTCATTTGCCATCATCAGTCTTCTGTATTGTGTTCGTCTGATGAAGCCTGATGATGGCAGATGAGATGAGATGAGATGGCAGAAGCCTGATGATGGCAGATGAGATTCTGCCAAAAAGTCGCTACAACTTTAAAAGCACAACTCTAATGACGTGGGAAAATACCAGAACAAAGCTGAATACCATACATATAGATACCCACCCAAACTTAAGAAAATATATATATATAAACACATACATATTCATTCACCATCATTTTAGCCATTGTCTATCAACTGCAGGATGAAGGCCTCTTCCACATTTCCAACCAATACGGTCCTGAGCTTTCTTTTGCCAATCGGGCCCGCAGCATTTGCTGATGTTTTGTGGTGTGTGTGTGTATCTCACAATGTTGTATATCTGTTTTTTTAAACTCTTTAAAGATTGCAATAATTAATGAGAATACGTATGCGTGTGTGTGTGCATTTATAATTCTATATTCCATCAGATTGCTTTTTTGGCAGACGCTGCAGGACAGAATCACAAACAGTACAAATGAAAATGTAAAGCAGCCTACTTTAGTAACTACAAATAAAACCCTTATTCTCAAAAGTTTGTTTCCGTTCCTTGCTTACACATAGAATTTGAGATTAAAGAGAGGTCTGGTGCAATAACTCTTCCTGTTCTGTTGGTTTCTACTCTACATGAAAAAGGAACCTCTTTCAAACACCACATACCAAATTCTGAAGCAAGAAACAATGCCCAGATGTCTTACTACTAGAGTGAATGTAATAATTCTGTGAGATTCTTGGTTTACACAGATAGAAGCTTAATACAGTAGTTATACTAGCAACAAAATTAGAAACCTAGAGGAATAGTGAAAATATCACAATATTTCTAATTACTGAGGGTTTTGAAGAAATTACATATCCATTACAAGTGAAAAGGATGACATTCCAAAAGAATGTTTTTTTAATGTAGCAGTTTTAAACTTGGAAAATTCTGCAGTAATAGATTTTTCTTGGAAACTAGTTTAATCTGCAACATTTTTACGATTAAAAATATCTCATTTCTTCCAATCTGTTTCCACCAACTTTTATTACCCTTAGATCTAGCTCAGGCATGCCCAACCTTTTGGTTTGCCTGTGCCTCATATAAAATATATAATATAGTTAATGGATATAAATAACAAAATTCATTTGGGGGAGGGTCTTGTGGGGCCTCATTACTAGCTGTCCAGAGGTTGTACATGTCTGATCTAGACTCTTCTTTTTAAATCTATACAAAAATTACATGTTACTATAAGACGTCAGAAAGATAAAAGTAATGGTAATTAATATATGTATATGATTCTCCAGGATTGCTAATCATTAATACTGTTTAAAAGGCTGTATTACAGATTGGAAATGAGAAATTTGCAGGTGTGCCATGGGTACAATTGTCTACTTACATCCCATGACACTAGATTTTTCAGTCTTCCAGTTTGACAATATGAATTGTACAACGGGGGTTGTTTTTAAATAACATGTATCTGGATGCAGCGAAAAGTTATGTTTAGTGCATAATTTGCAAAGTAGATTTTGTGTTATAACATTTATCTAAATAATGTTATTAAATTGTAAATGTATTTCAGAAGATTCAGATATATCATATTCTAACGGACATTTTTATAAATACATTCAAAGGAGAACAATTGATGCTTATGTTTCTTGAAAGATCAAAATGAGGTTAGACTCTTGAAAATATATTTTGGCAAATGGTTTCCAGTAATTTAGATTTACTAATCTAGATTTACATACCTATTGTTCAAATGGATTAATAGTTTTTAGTTCATATAAATGTTAGTTAATGGGACCAGCAACAGTTGGTCAGGGAAAGCTTTAGTTATTTAAGCAATAATTTACAAAAACATGTTTAGAGATAATTGGCCCGGAAGTTGCAGGAACCCACCTCAGTAATCCAATCTGGACCGGTCACTGGGACCCAGATTGTATCTTGCAAAAATGTGCACATATATATTCACCTTCATTTCACCACAGTAAGTTTATTTATTCCCTTTAATTCTAGCTATTCATTCTCTAGATCGGTATTTTGCAGTTCTGAATGTGACCTCCCCCCACCCCCAATTATGCAAAATAAGTTTTAAAATAGGCAGGATGTACAGATCATTCTTACATTTTTAAGACTGGAATGTGTTAAGACTGCAGCCCAAACAGTTTAATTATTAATCAGTATGTTGATTCAGAAATAACTCTTGAATGTAATAGTGCAATATCTTTTTATCGTGCCTAAATATTGAATACAAACTGGCTTTGCCAACTGACCAGGTACATGAGTAAGACATTTACAGAGTATATGACTAAAGTAACATTTCTTGACAAATATCTATCACAAGTCTAAATCTGTAGGAGAGATAGCTTGGGCTTATTTTATTAGGCAACCTTAATCCTGATGCATATAGAGGTCTGCTTTATTTTGTTTTAAATAGGTATAAATGCATTCATTTCACATGCCATCTGTGCTTCAAAAGATCAGGACTGTAAAATAGTTGCTAACAAGATAGGCATATAGATGATTGGATTCATTTTACTTTATCTGAATTCACATTTAGGACTAAAGCATACTTTGCTAAGCAGTAGCTTGTTGAACCATTTATAACTGACTGGATTCATATAAACAAAAATCCAACAAACCACATGATAGGGTAAGACTGAGCTAGGTTTCATGAGCATATTGAAGATGTCTCAACCTAATCCTTCAGATGACTTCTTCCAGTGACTGCATTAGATATTTCGCAACACAGGAGACAGTGTTGAACTCTGGAGAACTCTATAATGGAACGTTCAGCTTTCTCCCATGAGCTGTTCAGAGCATCCAGAAGTGGGGAGGTGCTTCAGTCTCTTCTGGAAAGGCTGGGCTTAAAACTCCGGGATGCTCCTCCTCCTCCACGGGACACCTCCTCAGCATCCCCCATTTTTAGCTCAGCCTTCGTGGTAACAGGTTGTGCATTCCCTGACTGGAACGATTTCTGATTCAGGTTTGCTCTTGGGTAATTTTAGCTTTTAAAAATCTTCCCCATTTAATTTGGCTTTTTCAGGCTGGTCCCTCTATTAGGCTACCTCGATTAGTTCAAAAAACAAACAGTTTCTTTGTAAATAGCGGAGCCTGCCACTCCACAGGCAGCTTGAGGCTACTGCATCAGGCAATTACCTTATCTAACTTTCTGATGGTCTTCTCTGCAATCACAGCGGAGCGCTCACAGCCGCGGCTCACTTCGCCTTGCCATTTCATCTGACAGGAGCTTTTAACTCACAAGTTAGAGCCTCAGCAGCAGCGGCTCATTTGACGGCTCAGACTTAGCAACAGAGATTCTGCTTCCCGCCCTTTTCAATGGCTGGCTCAAGTTCACGCCTAATTGTCACAGGCGCCATTCCCCGCTGGTTTCCCTTTTTGGGGACCGGGGCAGTACCTTCCCACTTTGTTCTCCCTGGCTTTAGCTCTCTCTTGTCTGGCTGATGTTGGATAAACAGGCTAGTCATTACACAGGCATTTCTTTGCAATTGCCTTCGGATCATTTCTTCGGAGTGAAACTGCAAGTATCATTTAAATTGTGGGACGTTTGGTTTTGACAGGAATGGATTACCTCAGATCCTGTATAGCTGGTTTCCCTTGTTGGGGACCAGGGATTCAGAAAGTTCTTGCTTGGAGCGCTTGGGGGTTTCCCTTGTTGGGGACCCTTAGATACTGTTTACCATATGCACAGTTTTACATATACATATAGACACATGTATATGTATACAAAAAAAGGCATAGAT